TTAACCCTGGAATCTCACTGTGGAATGAAGGTTTATTTCTTGCTTTCCTAAAGTCTGGAGTGAGCTGGTCTTCCTTTGCCTTAGTCCACTTTTATCTGCAGGCCTTCTCCTATTGTCTCAGGTTTAGGGTGCGGGTACAAGTGGGCTAAGGGGTACACACGGTTAGTCCTTTGGCTAGAATCAGGCTTGTGGTCCTACTGGGATCCCAGGAAATGGAGATGACCACAGGAGAGTCACTGAGCCATAAATGAAAGCACATTTTCTCTTGGAATTTTGAAGGCATTGTTCCATTGTCATCTTTGAGTCAGGTGCCACCTGCTTCCCAAGCATTTGTGTATCTTTTTTTCCTTCTCTTTCTAGACATTTTTCAAGACCTTGGTATTATCTCTGGAATGCTAAAATTTTAACATGGTATGCTTAATTATTGTTCTTGTCTTTTTTTGGATGTACTAATCATTTCATTGATCACTTATTTGAGTCTGTAAACTTGTGTTGTTTAGTTCCAGGAAAATTTAAACTTTCATTTTTTTCTTTTTCCTTTATTTTCTTTTTTCTTTCTGAAGGTCTTCTTCACTGGCTTTAGTAACTCCTGAGTTGATCCATTGATTCCTTTTTTAAAAAATATTTATTTTTTAGTTGTAGTTGGACATAATACCTTTGTTTATTTGTTTATTTTTATGTGGTGCTGAGGATCGAACCTGCCTTGCACACGCTAGGCGAGTGTTCTACTGCTGAGCCACAACCCCAGCCCCCATCCATTGATTCTTTTAGCTCAGTTTTTCATGTTGGTCTTTTTTTGGGGGGGGTGGAGAGGTATTGTTTACTTTTTCTTTCATTGAATTTTTAATTCTGACATTGACTTTTGTTTTCTTACAGTTCTCCCTATTTTCTCCTTGCCCCTTTTTAAATAAGAATAGCATCTAACTTGCTTTAGATTTATGATACCTTTTCTCAGACTTGTTTTTGGCATTTTCCAGTAGGCCTTTGGATTTTGTTTTATTTGAAAAATTTTTTTGTGAGAAATTATATCGCATTTATGTATGATAAAAGGCATTCTACTGTCTTGTGTAACTAACTAAAATAAACAAATTAATTTTTAAAAGAATATGGAATAATCTCAAAAATAATTTGCTGAATAAAAGAAGCTGTATGCTGAGTTAAAAAAATATTTTTTTGTGATGCTGGGGATTGAACCCAAGGCCTTGTGCATACTAAGCAAGTACTCGACCCCTGAGCTACAGGCCAAGCCTTGAGTTAGATTTTAGTTTCCTCCAGTTTGTCTAAGCCAATTTACAGTGTTATCATTTGACTGTAATTTGCTTTCCAGCTTTCATTGTCTGTGTGTCAGGGTGATAGTGGAGATCAAGAAGTACATGTTTAATCAGTATCTTTCTCTCTTTTTTTTTTTCTTTTTAAATAGTTTTTGTTTGGTTTGCTAGCATAGGTGAATATTAAAACCTTTATTTTGAGGGAGGCGAAATGTAATTTTTCTTTAAATAATTGTAATGAGTTTTCATTTCATGATCTCCTGAAGCCACATCTATGTTACTGATCTCTGGTAACTTAATTTATGAAATGCCTACTGATCTATAGTGGGTAACGTATTATTTGAAGTTGGGTCTTTTTAAAAACAGAGATGTCATATCTGGGAGTTCACTTATGATTACTTTTGACACTCAAGTTTTATTACAAAGGAAATAATCCTTCTATTTTGTAAGGTTTTATGTTATTTGCTTAATAGGACTCTTATTAAGTTGGATAGTTATTGCTATCTAAGATCCCCTATAGTTCTAATGATCAATGAATGAGGTTTACATTGGCTCTTAATGTACATTTAATAGTAAATCTTGCATGAATTACCTTTTACATCCCAAATCTGCACTAAAACCCCATTCTTAATTTGGGTAGCACTTTGGAAAATGAGAAGATTATGTTTAACTGAAAGCACATATTCTCTAGTGCAAACTAAATGAAAATATCTTATATATTCATATACAGAAGCATTTGAATAAATAACAAATTGCTTTTTAAATTGGAGCTTTTGTATTAAGATCTTAAGGTTCAGAGAGCCATCAAAGCAATTTTGTTACTTCTCAGTTATGTACATATTGCTTTTCAGAAGTTAAAATTTTTGTTTTAATAGTATATTTAAGAGATTTTTATATGTTTCAATCTTGAGTATGAAAACTGATGAAGGACTTCTTCATAGCCCTATTTGCTATAGTATCTGACCCTGAGTCAACACAGAAATAGCAAAACAGCTCTTCTTTGGACTCTGTTAATAGTTCACATTTTGTTAGAAACTCTTAAATGCTCTTTTCTGCTTGGTAGATTAATCAGTGAAGTTATACTTTCCCATAGGCAATGAAAGTAGTAAGGTTTTTAAGGAATTTGTAATATTTTTCAGCTAAAATATTTTTATTAGCATTTGTTAAAATGTTAATTGGTTTTAATTTGTAATTGTCAGTTATGTTTATATATAGGGAAACTGTATTAAAACAACTACATTTAAAATGTTTCACATTTCTTATTCTAGAAGTCAGGATTTATTACATTATTTCAAAGGGTCAACTGATTGTACCTTAGTCAATAAGGTAGGGAGAGTGTTGGGATCGTTTAAGGATCTTAATAAGTTGGGGGTGTTATATTTTCTTTCATTCTTTTTTTTTTAATGTTACTGAATATTGAACTCACGGGCATTCTGTCACTGAGCTACATCCCTACCCCTTTTTAGTTTTTGAAACAAGTCTTACTAAATTGCCTTAGCCAGCCTTGAACTTTGTGCTCTTCCTGCCACAGTCTCAAATAGCTAGGATTACAGGCGTGGGCCCCTGTACTGGGTTGGGTACATGTACATGATTTTCTTTATCAGTGCTTCCGAAGTCTTCACTGATTTCAGATTGAGTGAGCTATCAGTTTGTCAAAAATGTATAATAGTTATAGAAAACCCAGTCTGAAATACACAGTGAAGAAATAAGCCATTTTTATTGCTACTTGAACCAGTTCTCTGACATGAAAACTCTTTCTCTTCAGTTCTAATGCTGTCTAGTGTTAGAACAGACCCCGCAGGTGGAGGGCTTGGTGCACAAGCCTGCCTCCACTTCAGTGCCAATTGCAAGTCCTGGGCTGCTCCTCCTGACTGGCTGGCTGTAAGTCAGGAGTTCCCATGGCCTCCTCCTCAGTCACAGCAGTTTACTAGAATGGTTCATAGGACTCACTGAAACACTTCACTTTTATTTACTGGTTTATTACAAAGGATACAATTCAGGAACAGCCAAACAGAAAGGTGCACAGGGCAAGGTAAGGGCTTCTGTGCCCTCTTAGGTACCCCTCCCTCTCACTGCTTTCCTGAGTCCAGAGCTTTATGAATTTGGTCAGAGTGTTTGATCTCCATCTTTCCCCTTCTGCCTCTGCTGTAGGATGGGGCTGAAAGCTCCCCCACTGTGACTGCTTGTTCTTTCCAGGAGCCCCACTCTAAATCACCTCATTATTGTAAACTCAGGTGTATTTGAAGTATATAACAAAATATACTTAATGTCACTTAGGAGATTGGTGTCAGGAACCAGAGACAAGACCAAATATTTCTTAAAATATACTTCTTTCAGTAGGTAAGTGCCTAGACAGATGTAAAAACATAAACATTAGAAATTCAGTATGTATCTATACAAAAAAGGGATGTGTTGGTACATAAGCGCACTGCTTTTTAATTACACTATGTAAAAATCTGAGGAGAGCTGAAAACTTACTTTATAGATTAAAATCTTATAAGCTGGCTCCATTAACATTTTTTGGTAATTGAAGTTGTGAACATACTTCACATTCACTTTAACAGGAATGTATTGTGCATAGTTACAGTGAAAGATGCTAAGAAATGTTCACGGAAAAGTCCTGTGCAGGTTAAATAGCTAGTTCTCTGCAAATTTTTATTTTATTTTAATTTTATTTTTATTTTTAAAACATTTTTATTATTTTCATTGAATCAGATACTTTTAGAATTGGACATGCTTTAGAGATTAATCTCATTTTATATGGGAATACAGACTCAGAAAGGAGATTAATCACTCAGTATCATCCTGCAGACTTAGGTAAGAACTACCCCATGTTTTGGTTGTCAGTAGCCTACAAAGTATGAGTGAACCATTAAGAATAGCAAATATAAATTCATTTTAAATTTATTCAGTTTTAAAATATGTGGGAACTTTTAAGTCCATTTTCTTAACTTGGTTATATTTAATTTTTGTATCCACCTTTGTAACCAGGCAAACATTTCCTATTGCTTTTCAAAGAAGAGCTTAGTGTAAGATCTGTAGGCCCTGAAAGAAGTCAAGGCAATTTTATTATGTTTATTATACATCAGTTATTTTTACTTTTATATACTTGTCAAGAACTATGAAGGCCTAAGCAACTGAGACCCTGTCTCAAAATAAAAATGGGCTGGAGGTGTTGCTCAGTAGTTAAGCACCCCTGGTTTCAATCCCTGGTACCAAGAATCTTCTGTTTTACCTTACATGTAAGCTAACATGTTAACAAGTTAACTTGCTAAGTTTCATGGATGCTGGCAGAGATCATGGGATTCCAGCATCAGAGAAAAAGGGCTTTATTACTCAGAGTTGTAGCAGTAGCTAATGTCAGCATCTGTCCCAGTTCCCTGAGCACTGGTGCCATTTGGAGAGAAGACTGAACCACACCAAAGGAGAAAGCGAGAAGACGAATGAGGAGGCTCTGGCGGTAACACAGGTGATAGAGGACTGTTGTCTGGGTAGAGTCGTAAAAAATGGCTGGATTCTGCACGTATTTTAAAGGTAGATGAGAGTGAGATTTGTGACATACGGGATGTGAAGTATCACAGAAAGGAATCAAGGTGATTTTGAACTTTTTTTTTGTAACAGGGATTGAACCCAGGGGTATTTAACCACTGAACCACAACCCCCAGCCCTTTTTTGTTTTTTTATTTTGAGGCAGGGCCTCGCCGCCAAGTTGCTCAATCTGGCTTTGAACTTGTGATCCTCCTGCCTCAGCCCCTTGAGCCACTGAGATTACAGATGTGTGCCACTCTGCCCCGCTGATTCTAATGTCTTGATCTGAGCAGTTGGAAGAATGAAGTAACCGTAAGTGGAAGTAGGAGATCTTGCAAGCAGAGCTGGTTTGAAGGTGGGGTGGGTAAGACCCGGAATTTAGTGCTGAACATGCAGTTTCAGACACCTATAAAAAACTCAAGTGGCAACATCAAGGAGGGGTTTGAATATAATTAGTCTTGAATAAAGAGATAAGAATTTGGGAGTGGGTGGCACATAGATGCTGTTTAGCACTATGAGAATGAATGAAATTATCAGGTAAGTGAATATAGATGGAGAAGAGAGGACCAAAGCCTGAGAGCTGCGGAGCTCCATGGAGAGTCTGAGGGAAGCCTGCAGAGGAATCTGAGGAGTGACCCTGAGTGTGGTGTCCTTGCAGCAAAGAGGTCAAATGGTGTCAGGGAAAGAGGCGTGGCCAAAGGAGCTAAATAGAGCATTTAAGAAGGCTGAGCACTGATGCTGGAGTTTCTTTGTGCTGGAGGCGGAGAAAGCTCTCCTGTGGCTGCAGGAAAAAACCAGAGGGGAGGCATTTTAGCTGCTGAGTTCACACAATTCTCTCCAGGTGTTGTGCTGCTAAGGGGGTTAGAGAGATGGAACCACAGCTGGTGGGGGAGTGGGGTCAAGACTAGTTGGCTTTTATGTGAGAAACAGGAAAATTGTTAGGAGCTGAAGTGTGCATATGGAGGGCAGCTGCCTTCAGAAAGGAGCTGGGAGGAGGTGGATGTGGAACAGATGTCACCAAGTGGATAGATGTACTGGGCGGGTCCAGTTTCTTCTTGGTGTCCTTGGTTTTCTCAGTGATGTTGGAATTTGGGCCTCAGCTGAGGCTGAATATGGAGAGCAGGCATTACAGTGTGAGGAAAGGTGATGATGATGTGGAGCGGTCAGAATGGAGTGGGGGAGTGGATCAGGGAAGTGCAGTCTGATCTCCAGGCAGTATTCAGTATGAAGTGAGAGCAGTCAGGGTGATTGTTTCCCATCCACATTCATCAGTGTGGATGGAGGCCTGGTGAAGGCAAGGGTTGGGTTTAACCAGTGCTGTGTTTTTGCCAGGAGTGGAGTGGCACTGGAGGTTTGGTATATGCCAGGGAGTGGATACAGTAATTAATTGTGGAATATAGTTAGGTGGGTAGAGTATTATTCAAAAGTTGTTAGGTTTATCATTCTTATTATTTAAACTTTGAATATTTAAGACAGTTCCTGACTACATGTATTTGTGTGTGTCTATGTGTCTCTTTGTCTATGTCTGTATAGCTCTACACACATACACCAGTATGAAATTGTCATTTCAGCTTTGCAGAAAATAATTTTACATGGAATAAGGAGGAGGAGGCTGTCTAGGTCCTAATAAAGCAAAAATAATAGTCTCATCTAATATTTATTATTTGGTTGTGATATAACTAAAAGCCGAGGAAAGCACTTTGCTTTAACTTGGTGGATTTACTCAGCCATTCCTTAAAGCAGTTTCAGAACAAAAAAGTCTGTAGACTTTATTCTTATAAACACACTTACATGTTCAATGCAGAGTATTTTCCAAATGAAATATTAAAAATTAACATTTGTGAATAATTTGTCATCCCGTTAATAGTTCTGCTGTACTTCTTTCTGATCCAATTTTCCTCCCTATTCTTTCTACATAACTGAGACCACACTTTACATATAATTTTGTTTCCTGTGTTTTTGCACTTAACAAATGAACAATATGAACTTTCCCCATGTTATTTATAACTGTACACTTATCAATTTTCTTGGTTCCCTAAAGTTCCATTGTGTAGATATGCAAGGATTGTGTTTACTGTTCTCATAACTGTTGGGCTTAGGATGTTCTGATTTTTTAAACTCTTTTTAAAATCACAATACAGGGAACATTGTTATAGTTTCATTTCATATTATTTCTTGAAGATACATAAAATAGCATTGTTAGGTGAAAGTATGATTTTTAAAAGTTTCATATTGTCAAATTAATTTTTGCAATTAAGGTTATATTCAGCAATGAATATCATTAGAAACATTACTGTCCAGGTGCAATGAAGGTCAGTATTTTTCTATGAATGTGTTAAGCCAGTTGGTTATCCATGTGGAAAAAATTAAATTCCTACCTCATACATAAATCAATATTGTATTAACTAGGGGAAAACAAAGCTTTACCACTTATTTTTTTCTTTAGTAGGAAATACAGAAGAATGTGTATTTCAGTGTAAGAGAAATTTCTTCAGTCAGTAAAAGGGGCAAATAATAAAAGGAAGACTGATAAATTTGACTGAAATGAAAAGGAGAAACTTGAGTTTCTCAGGTACTACCCCCCCACACACATGCATAATGAGGGCATAAGTACTATGCAGCTATAAAAAAGAAACAAGATGATCCGTGTGACCTGATAAAGATCTGAAATGCACCAGCCCTATCATTCATTTCTTTATATATGTCGGCAGCATATCAGGTTTCCATTTTCTCTACATCCTTAACTTCACGCGATATGTTGTTTTCATTTTTGAGGGAGTGTAAAGAATGGAATATCCTTACAGTTTTAATTTATATTTCCCTAATGACAAATAGTCTAAAGACCTTTTCATGTGCTTTTTAGCCATTTGTAAATCTTTGGTGAAAGCTGTACTCAGGTATTTCACTCTGCATGCATTTGTGTTTCTGAGAACTGAACCCAGGGCCTCTGGCACATTAGCCTATACTCTGCCACTGAACTAGACCTCACCTTTTGCTCATTTGTAAAATTGGGTTATTGCCTTAGTCAAGAGAGTTCTTTATATAAAGAACTTGGTCCAAGTCCTTTGTCAGTTATGGTTTGCAAATATTTTCTCCAAATCTCTAGTTTGTCATTCTTTTAATTGTTTGTTTTGAAGCATGAACATTTTTAATTTTTTAAAAATTAATTGAAGTCTCATAATTTTTAATATAATATTGTGCCTTATGATATTACCTTTGAGAACCCTCTGCCCAAACCAACATCACAAAAGTTTTCTCTTTGAAATTTTATAGTTTTAGCTCTAACATCTAGTTCTGTGATGCATTTTTAAGTAATTCTTACATATGGTGTGAGGTAAGGATTTTTGTTTGCTAGCAATTCTGTTGTTGATACAAGATTTATAGACACATAGTTGTGTGTGTTAAGCTTCTCTACATAAAAAATTATGTCAGCTGTGAATGAAGGTAGTTTTATGCTTTTTACTTTCCAGTTTGGATGCATTTTGTTACTGTTTTTTCTGGCTTAACCCCTCAGACCAGTGTTCACTGGAGGTGGTGAGCACAAGCTTCCTTGCTTTGTTCTCACTCTTGGAGCAGGGCATTCAGTCCTTTGATTGTTAAGTATGGGGTTTGCTGAGGATTTTCATGAATGCTGCAAAAAGCATGATGGTGGCCTATGCCTACACACTGTAGTGTAGTTGCTGACTCCTGGAGTAATGGGTTCAGCAGATCACATTTATTGTAATTATTGATGTTTTAGATTTATACCTATTGTTTTGCTTTTGGTTTTTTAAAAATTTATTTCTTATTTCTGTTTGTTCCTGTGTTGCATTCTTTTGTGTTCAATGAACATATTTTAGCACCAGTTTAATTCATCTTGTGGCTTTTTTTTTAAACAATATTTTTGGAGTAGTTTTCTTTGCGATTCTTCCATAGATCACTGTATGTATTGTTAGTTGTCACAGTTTACTTCAAAATAATATTGGTTCTGGTAAGATGTGGACGTTTGGCTTTAACTTCCTCTGTTGCTTCCTGAATTCCTTCATGCCATTTCACAATATCACATCTGTGTGTAGCGTGTTATGACTTCAGTAGTGTTATAGTTATTGATTTATACCATCTCATTTCCCTTAAAGAAGAAGAGATGCAGTATTTTGCATTAATGTATGTGTTTATCATTTCCAGTCATCACCAAAGGTTACTGTCTTTGAATTTGAAGCACTTCCATATATATTTATGTTTATATTTTTATTTTATATGACGGACCTGCTAGCAACATATTTACTCAGCCTCTTTTCTATAGAGGAATTTGTTTATTTCATGTTTAATTTTTCCTGGTAACTCTTGCATTGTTTTGAACAGAAAATGCTTGGTTAACAGTTTTTTAAAAAAATTTTTTTAGCACTTTTAATGCGTCCTTCCTCTGCCTCTATGGTTCCTGCTCCCTTTGTAGGGGTGCTTCCCTCTGCCTTACTCAGGGTCACTAGTTTCTGTGCATTAAGTGTCTTAGTTTGGGGTATGCTGCTTATCTCTTCTGTGCTGAAAGGGTTGCTTTTGGTGGTTTAATCCAGCTTTATACTTAGCTTTAGGGGAGAGGATTTATGGACCTCCTAACTCCATCATGCCAGAGGTGAATCTCCCTAGGCAGATGCTGTTCTCATCTGCATTTCCAGATGAGGAACCAGCCATGAGTGTCCAGATCATTAGAAAGTGACAGCTGCAATGTGAGCTCAGGAGAGTGGCCCCAGTGCCATCAATCCCTAGGTTGCTATTCACTGTGCTTCGTGTCATAGTAGCACACATCATGTTCCAGCTTTTCAGCTGGGAGTGTAAAGAATGGAATCTCCTTACAGTTTTAATTTATATTTCCCTAATGACAAATAGTTTAAAGACCTTTTCGTATGCTTCCTTCACAGTATGAGTGGCTTCCTTATGACTTTGAGCAAAGTATTAAACTATCAAAAGTTTGGTTTGTTTTTCTGTAAAATGGAGATGAAATAGTCTGCTAAATGGAGTTTTTACAAGCAGCAAAGAAGGTAAATGTACATTTTTACTACATTCTGACCTCCGGGGGTGAGAGTTATAATTTTACAGTAGAAACACATTTCTGAGTCCACCCCTGTTTTTGACCATTGTTTGCAGCTTGAGTCTTCAGGCTTTTCCAGGAAGTGTAGTGTTTTGTAATTGTCAAGACAAAGTTGTGAGCTGGAATGATAAAATGAGGGAGACAAAGGATGCAAAGAATTGGGCAAAAATTAAGGAAATCTGTGGAAATCATAGTGAATGATGAAAACCACCGCTGTACAACGTGAACTGAACTTAAGGGCGCCATG